ACAAACAACACACACACACACACACACACACACACACACACACACACACACACACAAACAAAAAAACGAACTTCCCCTCCTTTTTTTTTCGGAGGCCCCGTGGCCTCAAATTTTTGTTAACATTTGTTTTGTGGTTTATGATGCGACATCCCACTCGGGTCTAAAACACCCCTCCTCAACTTTTTTTTTTTTTCTCGACCCCTTGTTTTCGGGGTGCGCCGCACCCCGTGCGCGCGCGTCATGCGCTGTGCGTAGTGCGGTGCGTGTGCGCGGTGCAGCGCACGTCGATGCGCCGCAAGTATGATCTGCACGTGTTTGTGGAGAGGTGCAAACAATTGTGATTGAACTGCTTTTCTGCATCTCTGTGTGGAACACGTCCAGATTGAAGACTCACCCACTTATTCCAATCCTCTTTGCCAATGGGATCTGGCCCTTAGCTTAGGCAGGTGTGAGGAGTGGTACATCCTTCCAGAAGGAAGTAATCAATGCCGCCCGCTCGGATCTCTCGACCATAATCGGGGGAAGTTGTTGGAGTGTGTATTAAACTGTATTTACTATTTAGTGCAAGTTTTATGATTTGCCGGTGGAAAAGGAACAGAACTGATGTTCACCAGTCCAAAAAAAAAAAAAAAAAAAAGGACTTTAAAGGAGTGCATTTATTGTAAGTTTTACGACTTCCCAGTGGAAAAGGAACCGGACTGATGCTCAGCAGCAAAAAAAAAAAAAAAAAAAAAAAAAAAAAAGAAGAGGAAAAAATATTTATTAAACAGAAAGGACTGAAGTTTCTCCCATCTTACCTAACCGAGGCTAACCCTACTGCTCTCCACTTCCAAAGAAAAGAAAGGGGTAGGAATGTCGCGCACGGCGATGAAAAATGTGTCCGTCCAAATCACGTAGACTGTCTGGATGTCGACCATTTGGCCACCTGTGCCCATGGCGCGCCTGATACTGGTCCGAGGCTCTGAACACTTAGACACTGACTTTCACATATAGACAGAATGAGGCCGCTTGCGATGTACTTCGTGAGTGGTGCCTCCTGAGGCTGAAGTGCTGTAGCCCACTATGTCCAGCCTGCTACGGGAATTTGGGGAGTTTGGCTAATGTCTTCACCCGAATAGAACACCCGATCACTATAGCTGCATTTGGTGCAACTTTCGGTCTAGATACAGTGATGATGAACGGGTGCTCTATTCGGCCGAAACCCTGTGAAGACGGTAGGGTGCCACATGAGTGAAAACAACCACGTTTTCCTCATGCCATCTGTCGTTGGCACGAGGTACAGCACTTCAGTCTCAGGGTAAGCTGGTACTGGTACCGCTACCTCCCTCAAAGAAAACAGCGACCATCACTGTGTGTGACACAGTAGATTGCAGGCTCCGCAGAAAGCATTTTTAAAATTTTTGTAGCTTTGGGTGGACTGGTGGTTAAAAGTGCAGGCCACGCACCTGGCCATAACTCAGAGGCAGGTACACTTTCAGTGGGCTACTTGAAGCAAAATGTTGCCACTCTTGCCTCTGTGTGCCATTTCCCCATTTTGGATGGGCCCGGCGGAATGGAGCCAATGGAATGTTCAAAGTCCCCTTGTGGTTCCATGGACCGGCTGTCGACCCCTCAGCGGAGCTCAAGACGGTTTTAGGACAGGACACATGGTATCATCGATGTCATGAAGAGAGGACAGGAACAAGTTGGACAACGCACTTTGCCAGGTGCAGAAAGGGAATTACATTCAAATAATTAATTATAAATTTATAATTACATTCGTAGAACTCGGAGCTAAAAGAAATACAGTCAGGATATACAACGTCGTGGTGCTTCGGCTGGGACCAGCAAATGCATAAGCATATGAAGGCCGTTGTCACACTCCATACTTTTTATTCCAGTAATATATTCCGACTCCCGAGTCTAAACCTAAATGAAGTTATACATCAAACGACACATGTAACTGCATTTAGGTTGTGACTCGGGAGTCTAGATATATTGAAAAAAAAAAGAAAAAGCAGTCACATGTCCTGGAAACATCTAGCGTGTCATTTGGTGTGTTCTTTCAGTCCATGTATCATGTATGTCACTATGCAATGTATGCATGGATGGGTACGTTGCGGGCAAGACTAGGCTTGCCACCTTATATTATCTTTATTATCTAAAAAAGAAATTCTACAGTTAGTGAACCTTATTCGGGTCAGTTAGACCGCTAGTACACGGCCCCAGCCTTCCAGAAAGTTTTTGCTGCCACAAGCAAAACTTGGAGCTGCGCCCGCCGCATGGAGGGCCATGGAAAAAAAAAAAATCGGCGGCCTCCAAAGTGGTGCGGGTTTTATGCTGACACCCGCGGGCCGATGTGTGGTGTACTGGGTGCTTTAAGAAAGAACTTAAAACCACCAGCACCTCAGAGGGTGTTAAGACTCTAGGCCCCCCTCTGACGCAAACGAATACAGACCCGCGCGGCGCACCTGTTCATCCACTGCGTTAGCACCTAAGAACGTGGTAGGTACTGGACCTACTACTGGTGGTTTAAGAGGTTACTTCCGATAAAAAAAATTATTAATTTAGTGAATAATTTTTGTTAAGTTTACCAAGTTCAGTGACGAAAAAATTGTTTTTCTTCTTTTTTTTGTTTTCTTTTTTTTTTCCACTGAGTTTTTCCGAATTCTCAATCACTTTCTTTTTTTTTCCACTGAGTTTTTCCGAATTCTCAATCACTTATTCCGACACTACATGTGTGTATGTGTTTTGTTATCTTCCTAGGAAGGGCAAGGTGCCACCCACCTGGATTCTGTTTTTTTCAGCCTTTTTTAAGTTTTTTTTCTGTTTTTGTTTTATTCCCTTTCTCTGGCCGTTGATCCTTGTAATCTACAGATGAGAATGAAGAGGCCAGGAAGGTGGGACCTTGCCTCTAGCATCGTTCAGCCAGTCTTGCTGGTCTACCTCACCCTCTCCACTCGCAATGGATGAATTCAATCCATTGGGGCCAAAGTAGCTCGACGGAAAAAAATAACAAAAAGCTTAAAAAATTAAAAAAGGAAACTTTTTCCAGAAAACTTATAAAAAAAAAAAAAAAAAGGCAGAGTTAGATGGGCAGCCACAGGACATACATAGCGAAATGACATCCAAATTTTCAGCATAGGTTCACACTGTTCACAGTGATTTCAGTCGAAAGGGCACACAGAGAAAGGTCATGAAAATCCCTTGCAAGACTAAAGGTTCAGAAAATGATGTAATGACAGTTGTTAAGGTCTAGGTGTAGGGTTTTAGGTTTCTGAGTTTTGGGTTTAGGGTTTAGGGTTGAGGGTCTAGGTGGTGTTAAAGAACAGAGTTTTCCAAAAATGCGTTTTATGCTAGGCTACCAACCGGGCTGCCCGGGAGACCTTGTTTTCCCAGGCAGCCTGGCCGTGCAAGGGCCAAAGTGGGTCCCAGCAAAAAAAAAAAAAAAAAAAACCTGGGGTTTTAGGTTTTTGGGTTTTGGGTTTGGGGTTTAGGGTCGAGGGTCTAGGTGGTGTTACAGAACAGAGGTTTCCAAAAATGCGTCTTATCAACTTTTAATAGTCTTTTATCAACTTTTATGTTTTGTTTTGTCGTTTTTGTTTTTGTTTTTGTTTTTGTTTTAAATGCATTTTCTGGAGGCCTGTGCTATGTCTATGCCTATGTTTCAAAACCCGGCACCTGCCACCCAGACATGTTTTTTTCATCTAGTTGTGACCGTTAGATTTCCTTATAAGGCCCACATACATACGATTGGTGCCTGCCCTCTTGAGAAACTCTCCACCTGTTTATTTATTAACCTTTAGAGTTTAAAGGCTGTTTTGGCTGGGCGTGCACCAAAAGCAACTTCTCGAAAGCATGCTCCTGAAAAGCCAGCAGGTTAAGAGGGTCTGTAGACTATGTACGCCCTAACAGGTTAAGGAACTTAAGGTAGAATGGCACTGGGCAGAGCACAGGTAGAAGTACAGGGTACAGATTCTACAGAATACTACACATGCAATTTCAAAATCCAAATGTCCCCGGGGTTATTTTTGTTCTTTTCTTTAGGTCACCAGCCGGGCCGCCCGGGTCACCCTGTTTTCCAGGGCGGCCCGCCCATGCAAGGACCAGGGAAGGTCCCAGAMAAAAAAAAAAAAAAAAAAAAAACTCCAAAAAATCCGAAAAAAAWSTCATGCAGAAAAATAAACTGAACAACTTCTGTCTCAGGGTCACATCGATATTCTTTACCTTTTTTTTTTTTTTTTTTTTTTTGGGTCCGGCCTGACAAGTGGTCCGGGCAACTCTGGTAGCCTAGCTTCTTCTGCCATTTCTCCCTTTCATATGCTCCCCTCTCGGCTGAGGCGTCCTGTCCCTGGGCCGAGACAACTGAGTGCCACAAGATACATAACTTGCCCAGCGATGATGTATATAATATGAAATTGTGCTAGAAATGAAATGAATTGTGCTGCGTATTAAGTACGAAATGCATTGTGCTACAAATAAAATGAATTGTGCTGCAAATGGAAAAAATTGTGCTGCAAATGAACTAACTTGTGCTGCAAATGAAATGAACTAACTTGTGCTGCAAATGAACTAGCTTGTGATGCAAACGAAATGAATTACACAGTTTACACTGCAAGTGATCAGTGACAGATCAGTGAAACACATCGTGCCAGAAATTATCATACCACTTCGATGTCTGGGAAGTCCACCAAAGCATCTGTGACCTCAATCACGCCTTTCTGCTTCAGCACCCAGCTCTTTATCAGCTCAGAATCTTCACTCTTTGATTCGCCGCCTTCGATATCAGTCTCATCATCCGAGATGCTGGCCTTCTCTGCACAATGGAGAAGAAATGCAAAAAGGAAAAGACACGCATGCAAAGAGTGAAAAACAGGAAAAGGCTCATTATAAACTACATTGAGGATATAATATGGTTAGTGTTCCCCCCGTAATATACATAGCGAGAGGATGAGATAGATGAGAGAGATTGAGAGAAGAGCATAGATTAGTTTTATATAAAGAAAAAAAATCATAAACATTCAGATTCAGTATTGTACTATTGTCCTTTTATTTACGAAGAGGCTACGCTACCAGCCAGGCCGCCCAGGTCACCTTTGTTTGCGGGGGTGGCCCGGAGATGCCATGGCCAAAGAAGGTCCCAGCAAAAAAAAATAAAAATCCAAAAAGTCTGAAACAAAATCATGTTTTGCGGAAAAATAAACTGAACAACTTTTCCCTCAGGGTCACATAGAAATTCTTTACCGAATCTGAAAAAAGTAAATAAAAAAATGTATATGTGACAAACTGTTTCGTCGGAGTTTCACCTACCTACTCATCAGGAGGCTGAACCCTCAACAGTCTGCAGAATCCCCTGACTGATTACACTGTAAGCCATAATCCACCTTAACCCCGGCTGTGGTTAAGCATCAACGACTGCCCTACAACTGATACCCCTCTGAGGTGGTGGGGACCACCAACCACTGCCCTCAAGGTACCTGTGACGAAAATCAAAGCAGAATATCACTCACCCACACCAGATGGAACACTCTACAGACTGTCGGTCCCCCCCCCTCCCCAATCACAAGCCAGCAAAACACCCACGAAACAAAGAAAGACCTGTCACAACCATATATATAGTCGGTCAAACTCGGACGAAACAGTTTGTCACAGCCCCTCGTTTGTTGTCCTCTTCTCCCTCTCTGCCTATGGTTTACCGCGCAGCTCTGTTTGACTATATATACTCACAGGTAACTAAATGCCATAAAGGCTGCGAGTACGTGGGCTTGCTTGGCGGTGATTTCTAGAGGTACACTCCTACCACCAAAGACAATAAGAAAAACTATGATTTGATTCAGCTAATCTATGAGGATGAGTTCCGATAAACTCTTTTTTTTCCCTAGCACATCCTTGTTTTTTTTTTCGAAGCATCCTGTATTTCAGCAGATAAAGACTGATCTAAAGTTCTAAGGGAATCTAAGCTTGTGTTGTTTTTGGTCAAACTGTTTTAGGTCAAACGTCGTCGTCTCCACAAAGCGCCTTCAAGAATCGACCGAAGAGATAATGGATGGGACTAATTGGCTGGTTGCGGAGATTCTGACTTTTTTTTTTTTTTTTTTTTTTTTTTCCGGAGATTCTGACTTTTCTTACTTCAAACACGATTGAAAATGTCAAACCTATTTTACGTATCCAGAAGAATCCGGTCCAAGTGGGACACGTGGAAAATCTGCAACTGTGCAGCATCCACTGCCATCCAGGCCATTGGCGTCCGATTGATCTGGGTCGTCGACCCCAGGAGACCAGAGGCTGGTCAACGTGAGTCAATGCTATAAGTTGACCCAGCCTGGGTCAACGTGAGTCAACGTGAGTCAACTTATAGCGTTGACTCACGTTGACCAGAGGCGGGTCAACGTGAGTCTCGGGTCAACGTGAGTCAACGCTATAAGTTGAGCCAGCCCCTGTGCTGGCTTGTTGCTGGTGTGACGACACAAGCCTACTCAGTCTGGAGGCTCTATGCTGGCACCAGATTCTGCGTGTGGGCTGGCTATGCTGCCGTGGGCATAGCCACATTGATTTCGACATTGATAGGGGTGTGGGCGAGGAGGAGGAGGATCTGGACTGTGAGATTGATGTGTGCGATGAGGGGAAGGTTACCTGGACTTACCTTTGACGTCATGTGTGCTTTGCTGCTTGTCTCCAACAAGAAGATCTGCACCAACCTCCTTGATTGCTGCTGATGTGGAGCGAGGATGGGCGCCCTGACGTGACCTGTTCGTTGTATATGTCAGAGATTGTCAGAGGAGAACTGTATTGCTGACGTGGCGAGTGAGGGAGATGCCCGAGGAGTAGGTATTGCTTTATTGATTCTTGTGGGAACTCTCCTCCCCTCTTCTCTGTCTCTTCTCCCCCTTCTCTCACTCTCTTCTCTGAGGTTTGAGACATTGGGAGATCGCATGTACTTTAGGCATGGATACATAAACGATTTTTGGAGACATTGTTGCTGCGCTGAGTCAGACTTGTATCGCGACATTCTTGAGCTTCTCATCGGTCTGGGTTCATTGCACCATCCCAAAAAATAAAACGAAAAAGGAGACCTGAGGTGAGATCCAACTTACCCGGATGCACCACTTCTTGGCCGGCACCGGTATACATTAACCTTTTTTTTTTTTTTTTTTTTTAATATCATTGTGGCCCGATGGACCATGGATCAGATACTGAACTGACCAGAACAGATACTACGCTTTATCTTAGCCAAAAGGCCGAGAAAGGTATAAAGTCTACGACTCTACGTCTTAATCTATACATCCGGAGAACGAGAATCCTTGTAAGTCTGACCACACCCCTATACAAATGAGATTCCAATTTCTACCTGCAGTTGGACAACAGTCCCATAATAATTCTCACCTACATTAGTAACCGGACTGATACTCTCCAGAAAAGATATGGAGACAGAACCATAGGTTCCTGTTTTTGTTTAGAAAAAAAAAAACATTTAAATAAAAAAAATGCTCACCTGCATTCGGAGCCTGACCCTCCTGTGATGCCCCAGCCTGCATAAGATATGACACAAAGCATTTCCCAATCCCAACCCCAACCCCAACCCCAACCCCAACCCAGCCAACCAAAGTTCCCCAATCAGAAGAGAAAGGCAACCTAGGATTGGGGTACAGCCATAAAAGGCATGCCGGAAATGGGACAGATGGGTAAGGCACAGGAAAACGCAACCAAGAATGTAAATGCCAGACACCACGGAGAACAGTCAGGGAGCAGCCCGTGAACTATCAGAACGAATAGTCAGAAAAAAGAAAACAGTCAGAGAGAGGTTTCACATCAGTTGGCCACGAACAATAGCGGAGTAGTGGGTGCGGAGGTTACACCCCGGTGTTAATAGGCTTAGGGCCAGATCCCACTGTCAAAGAGGTTTGTTATTCCTCTGAATCTGGACTGTACTTGCGGCGCACCAGCACTGTGCGCTGTGCGCGGACCCAGGGTGCGCGCGCACCGGCACACGCCGCTCATCCGGGTGCGCAGTGCATGCTGCGCGGTGCGCTGCGCACATCTGGTGTGCTGCGCGCATGTGCGCAATGTATATTTCCATGTTCTAGCGGTAGATTCATTTGATTTTGTTCTCTCTCTCTCTCTCTCTCTCTCCCCCCTCCCGAGTTCTTCCGCCGCTTCCCACCATCCCACCTTCGACCTTTCTCCCGCCTTCCGCCATCCACCATCGCTACTTCTCTCCCTCTTCCCGCCATCTTTCTCTCTCTCTCTCTCTCTCTCTCTCTCTCTCTCTCTCTCTCCTCCCTGAATTCTTCCGCCGCTTCCCACCATCCCACCTTCGGCCTTTCTCCCGCCTTCTGCCATCCACCATCGCTACTTCTCTCTCCCTCTTCCC